GTGGTTAGCGATGCCTGCACCCCACGTCGGCGGGGCGAGTCCCCGCCCACGCCAGCTCCCTGCGCATGCGCACCCTGGGAGGCAGCAGCGACGGCTCAAGTCCGAGGGTCCCTGCCGCCCACGTGGGAGCCCCCGATCGGATTGGGGGCCCCTGACCTTGGCCTGGCCCAGCCCCGGCGGTCGTGGGGGCACTTGGGGGAGGGAACCAGCGGGTGAAAGCTCTCTCCATCTACCCCTGCCTTCCTCTTTGTCTCTACTTGGCTGGCTGTCTGCTCCCACGCGTGCTGTGCCGCAGGGCAGGGCTCTGGGGGTCCCCGTGAGCCGCCCCCGGTCCCGCCCCTCGCAGGGCTCCCTGGCGGACGTGCTGCAGGAGGTCTGGCCCGCCTCCTTCTACGGGGTCCCCCGGATCCGGGACGGCATGCTGGACCTGCTCAAGGCCGGGCCCCTGGACTCCAGCGCCTTCCGTGGCCGTGGGGCTGCGGACCAACAGCTTGCGGGTGTTCCAGCGAGGCCGGCGGGGGTGGGGAGCCCAGGGCCTGGGCCCGGGGTGCCGCAGCGACGGCCACGCTCTGTGTCCATCCCCCGCTCTGCTTCCGCCTGGCCAAGAAGCTGACCTTCAAGGGCACCAGGAAGTTCCTGGGTCTGGGGCGCTGCCGCCAGCTCCTCAACACGGACCTGAGGCTGCCCAGGGCCACCCTGGACGTCGTCCTCAGCCTCAACAAGCCCACCTTTGAGATCTGCAGCCTGTCCGAGTCCTCGGGCGTCCACGCTGTCTGCAGCCAGCGAGACGGTCAGATGCTGAGGTGGGTCCCGGCCGCACGGACAGACGGACAGACAGGTCTGGGCCCGAGGCCTGCGCCCCTCTGGCCCGCCTCGCCATGCTCTGAGGGTCACTTGGGCGGCAGGCGCCTTGTTGGTGACACTTGGCCTCTCAGGTGTGGAGCCCTGTGGTACGGAGCTGTGGCCACGTGGAGGTGACCTTGAGAGCGTTGGGAGCGTGGGAGCCGCCGCGTGGGTCGGCGCTGGCTCGGGGTCCCTCATGGGGCTGAAGGTCCGGCCCCAGAACCGAGAGGCGTGACGTCAGAGGTGGATACCTCACTCGGTGTGTGATCAGACAGACGGAGCCGGGGCGGGGTCGGCTGCCAGGCATCCGGGCCTCGTGTGTGTGTGTGTGTGTGTGTGTTTGCGCGCGTGGTGGGGGGTGATGAAACCCTGCGTGATCGTGAGGGTCTCACAGGCCATGGGCAGGGCTCACTGCACCGCAGCGCCGGCCCTGCGGTCACGTTTAAGGAAGGCCCCGCCCCCGAGCCTCCGACCGCCTGCAGAGGACGGGCACCAGCGCCAGCCCCCGGTGTCCTGGGAGAACAACCCCTTGGTGGTTCCCCTCCTCCCTGCCAGGGCCGAGCCCACCCACGGACGCTGTCCCCTGCCTGGAACCAACAACAGCATCTGGAGTTCACCTGCGCGTCCTGCCTGGCCCCGGGCTGGCGTGTGGGCTCCGCGAGGTGTCCGTGCCCAACTAGGGGTTGGCTCTCCCCCCACTGTCACTCCACACCTGGCCCCTCCCCTCTCTGCACCTGGCTTCCCCCCCACTCTGTCACTCTGTACCTGGCCTCCCCCCACCCCCCGTCACTGCACCTGGCTCCCTCCTCCCCCGCGCCCTCCCTTGGGCCCTAGGAGACAGAAGGAGTGTGCAGCGGTTGTGGGATGGGAGGCCGCGGGGTCCTCACTGCCCTGTGCCCCCAGCTGCGGGAAGGGGCTCCTGGGCACCCACACCAAGGTGGAGGGCGAGGGCGAGGCGGGCGTGGGGACCGTCTGCATCTGGGGCCGGAACGTCTTCATGGGCTACCTCGGCGACAAGGCGGCCCCCCGCCGGACGATCGGCACGCCCAGCTGGGTGCACACGGGGGGACCTGGGTTTCCTGAACGCCAACAACTTCCTCTACGTCGAGGGCAGCGTCAAGGGTGAGCGAGACGGCGCGGGGCTCCGCGGGGCGGCTGTGGACGGTGGTGCCGGTTGCACACAGCACAAGGTCCAACGAGGGCTGAATTCCTCCAGCCGTACGCCTGGGGTCTGGGAGCTGCCTCGCGAGCGCTGGCGCTGCCTGGCTCCCGCCCCAGAGCCCGGCCCTTCCGCTCCCCGCACGCAGGCGTCATCACGCTGAGGTAGGGCGAGCCCATCAACCCCGGCCCCATGGAGGACCGCGTGAGGACGTGCGTCCCCATAGTGCGCTGAGCCGTGCTGGTGGGCCAGGACGCCCCGTACCTGTGCGCCCTGCTCACGCTCAAGGTGCCCTGCGGGTGGAGGGGGTGGGCTCTGGGGGCCCCGGGGGCGTGGCCTGCTCCGCTGGCTTTGCGACATCTGCGTCCCGCATTGGGGCCTGGGGTCGAGTCCCAGCTCCGCTCCTGACGCCAGCTCCCTGCGCGTGCGCCCTGGGAGGCGGCAGTGACAGTTCAAGTGCTGGGCCGTGCACCCACGCGGGAGCCCGGACGGAGCTCCTGGCGCCTTCAGCCTGGCCCAGCCCTGGCTGCTGCAGGCATCTGGGGAGGGGACCAGCAGGTGGGGGCAAGGGCTCGCTGTCCCCCTCCCTCTCTGGTAAATAAAACCTTAGTGGAATAACAGGAGCTGAGGCTCGCCCCGTGGGTCCCGAGCCCTCCCTCCTCCTGGAGGCTGAAACCCCAGTTCTAGAAGGAGCTGTGCCGGACGCGCGCTGCCCTGGCGCCCACGCTGCCCCTGCCCCCAGCAGCAGCCCGGCAGCGGGCCGGGCCTGGTCCTCCCACCTGGGCAGGAGCCATGGGACCACTGGCAATGTGCGTGCGTGGCCCTGTGCTGGGTGTGTGGCCATGTGCTGGGTGCGGTGGCCGGGTGCTGGGTGTGATGGCCGGATGCGTGGCCCTGTGCTGGCGGAGGGTGCAGGGGCTGCTCACCCAGGAGCGGCCTCCCCTCCCCAAGTGCCAGATCAGCTCGGAGACGGGAGAGCCCCAGAACGCGCTGACCAGCGAGGCCGTGGCCAGTCCACGCGGCTGTGGGACATCGTGGGCGGCCGCGACCCGCCGTCATGGAGTCCATCGGGCGGGGCATTGAGGCCGCGAACGCGGAGGTCCTCTCGGACGGCGCCAGGATCGTCAAGTGGACCGTCCTGGACGCGGACTTCTCGGTGGCCGGCGGGGAGCTCGGTGAGCCGGGCGGGCGGGCAGGCGGGGCTGCTGCCCGCGCACACACCGACGTCCTGGGGACGGTGGTGGGGAGGGGTGCGGCCGTGAGAGCCCCTCGGGGCTGCCCACACTGCTTCTTGGGTGCTGCGGGGCGGCTCCCTGGCCGAGGCCACCCGCTGTCCCCGTCGGGGACCTCCTGGGAGTGGACCTGCCTCCGTCGCAGGGGCCACCAGGAAGCTGAGGGGGGCGGCGGTGGCCAGGATGTGCCAGGCGCAGACCCAGGAGGTTCGTGCGGATGACCAGCAGCGCTAGCGGCTGCGGGCCCCTCCCCAGCCCCTCCTGCCGGACTTCCGGAGGGGGAGGGGCTCCTGGCGGAACAAGGGAGCCCCTGCCGGGGGAAGGCTCCAAACCCCAAGGGATAATAAACCTCGCTCACCCCAGCGCGCACGGAGCTGGGAGAGAGGGACCTTGGCCCTGAAGGCCGGGGTGAAGCTCACGGCTTCTTTGATTCTGAAACCAAGCCCCCCCCCCCCCCCGCGCCCCGTAAGGGAGGGGTCGCTGGAGAGACAGACTCGGGACCCTCTCTGGAGCTGGTGCTGGGGCCGTCCCCCAGCTGTTGGCACACAACCTGGGGTGCGCGGGAGGGCCCAGACCTGCTCCTGTGGGGGAGGGGAGGGGCGGCTGTTAGAGGGGCTCCACCCTGGATTTGTCAGAACCACCCCGGGGAACTCGTGGTCTGAAGGCTGCACCCAGGGGCCGGCACTGTGGCCTAGCGGGTAAAGCCGCCCGCCGCCTGCAGTGCCAGCATCCCGCATGGGCGCTGGTTTGCGTCCCGGCTGCTCCACTTCCCATCCAGCTCTCTGCTGTGGCCTGGGAAGGCAGCAGAGGACGGCTCAAGTCCTTGGGCCCCTGCACCCGCGTGCAGCGATGCCGGACCTGCACCCACTGGGCCGTGTCTCCGTCCCCCGGCCCCGCCCTGCCTTAGGCGCTGTGTCAGTCGATGGGGAGCGGGGGAAGGGACCTCTGTGTGGCAGGGATCCCAGGAGCTGGGTGTCGGGGGCGGGGCCTGCTTTCACCTGCTGGTCACCCCTCCTGAGACCCCTGGAGTCAACAGACGCCTCGCCCCTGCTCCCTCACCTGCCTGGCAGGCAGGTGGAATCAGGCAGGGCTATTCCCAGACGGCGAGCCAGCACCCCGTAGCTCTGCCTTTCAAATAAATAAATCCTTAAACGAAACACGCAGCACCCAGCTCACGGAAAAGATAATGGAGAGAAACTCAGTCCACGCGGCCCGGCAGGGCTGGGCGGCTCAGAGGGGATCCCAACCGGTCCCGAGGCTGCCCGGGGCTGCAGGGGCCACCACGGTGCGGGGCCGTGGACACCAGCGGGAAACACGGGGGCCCTTGCAGGGCCGTGGGCACGAGAGACGCTGCTCGCGTTAGAACTCAAGGCCTGAGAGCGCGGAGTTCCTCCCTCCCTCGGGGGGTCTGGAAGGGACACACGGAGGCGCTGGGGTGGGTCCGGGTCCCACGGGGCCGTCGCTTCAGGCAGGAACGCTGACGCCCAAGGATCAGTCGGATGACCGCGCGTGTCTGAACGCGGGAGCGAGGTGGCCCCGTCCCCCAGAACGCGCTCAGCCTGGTTTTCACTGTTCTCCCCCCGGGAGGCACGCACGGGCTCCAGTGCCAGCGGCGTGGTGAGGGCGCCCCCTGCCGGGGGCACAGAGACACTGCAGCAAGATCTGAAGCCAGGCAGGGGCCAGGCTCCTCTTGGGTGGAAGCCCTCTCAGGAGAAACAGCCAGGGTCCCCTGAGCACCTCGCCAGTCCCTTCTGAGGGTGGCGGGCACCCCCAGCGACCTCCCTCTGGGCTCACCGTCTTAAAGGCCCCCACGAAATGTCGCCACCCTGGGGACCAAGCTTCCAACACAGGGAGCCACGTCTGGACCACGGCACTGATGGGGGGCTGAGCCGGTGTGTGGGCTTGAGACGCAGCCCCTGGGGGTGGGAGGGGCAGAGGGTGAGTTTCGCCTCCAGAAGCCCCACCCACACCCCAGCTCCTTGGGCGGGGCGGGGGGGGCTGGCGCTGTGGCGCAGCGGGCCGAGCCCCAGCTTGGGATGTCGGCTTCTCAAATCCGAGCACCAGTTCCAGTCCCGGCTGTTCCACTTTGGATCCCGCTCCCTGCTAATGCGCCCGGGAAGCAGCAGATGATGACCCAAGTCCTTGGGCCCCTGCCACCCACGTGAGAGACCCGGATGGCGTTCTTGGCTCTTGGCTTCAGCTTGGCCCAGCTCTGGCTGTTGAAGCCCTTTGGGGAGCGAACCAGCTAAGAGAACATCTCTCTCTCTCTCTTTCTGCCTTTCAAATAGGAAAAAAAAACTTAACAGAAATAAGCGACAGATTTGGCCTGTGGGCCACAGTTTGCTGACCCTGCCAAAGAGCAGCCGGAACGCTCCCGCGGTGCCGGCCAGAGCACTAGCTGTACCAGTTCTCTGAACAACCGCACCCACCCACAAGGGCCGCCTATGCAAGAGGGCTTCTAGGTTGCTGAGCAGTGAGGGGGTGAGGGGCCAAGCCGGCGTGGGAACCCTCAAGGCCAACGCTTGAAACCAGCGCCCCGGGCTCTCCGCCTCCCTCGCCCGTTCGCTCTTGGCCTCCAGAACCCTGTGTGCTACGTGGACCTCTAGGTTCCTGTACAATCGGGCCGTGCCGGGGGGTCTGGGGGAGAGCTGAAGACGGGCCAGAGGGTCTCCCAGGCCAACCAGACTCATTCAAGTCTGCAAAGCACCCGGAGAATTCAAACTGGTTTTTACCTGTGGGCTCTTCTGGAAGGTCCAGTGTTCGGGGGCGCAGAACCGTGGGCTCTCCCAGGCTGGGCCGAGGCGCCTCCTCAGGCTCCGGGATCCCCAGCTGCCCTCCAGAGCCACTGCTGAGCGGGCCTGTGAGGACGAGAGCTGTGAGGCACACGGACCGGCTCGGGGCGAGGAGATACCGGCCCCTGGAGGAGGCTGCCCTCTTGTCTGCTGGTGGGGATGTGAAGGCACCGAGCGCTGGGAGTTCTGGAGGTGCAAGCCCCCCACCCCACCCCGGGCGTCGTGCCGTAACAACTCCGTCGGGCCATGAACAGTTTCAGGGGCTCATGTCTGAAACTGGTACCCAAAGCCTCCGCCACCTTCCTCCCCGCTCCTCTAGGGGGCGCTGGAGCCCAGAGCAGGCGGATCTGCTCAGACACTCGCCCCTCGCGCGGGGTGAGCTGGCAGAGGGCCGCTTGGCTCCTGGCAGAGGCTGTCCTACGCATCCACACACCTGCCCGCCCACCCGTGCACCCACCCGTCCTTCCTCTCCCTCCCACCCACCCACCTGGGCGTGGACCCGCCACGTGTCCGCGACGTCCGACTTGATTTCCGCGCTCCCCTAGCCGCCCGCTTCCAAGGAGGGGGCGGAGCCTGCGCAGGAGTGGGCCGGGCTCTGCTGCGGCGGCGCCGCCCACCCCGCCAGTCCCCTCCTGGGCACCTGGGCACCGGGGCCCCTCGGGGCACGAACCACACGGACGCGCGCCGCTCTGCTTTCCATCTGACTTTATTTCACTTTTTTTTTTCTATAAAACTCCTCCATAATTTCACAATTTAACAAAAAGTTTAAAATCCAGGACAGAAACAATCCTGTAACTCGTTACAAACACGTTTCTCCTTATTCCTGTCAGCCAGGAGTTGGTCTCGGGCCGCTGGGAAGGAGTCCCGGTTCCTCGGGGCGCGTCCTGGAGGAACCCTGGCGGGCGGGGAGGGTATTCGATACCCTCTGGTTTACACTGTTCAGGAGACGGCCACACACGGGGATTTGCACTGGGGGCGAGCGGCTTAGCACGGAGCGCGCCCCGGAGCCCTCTCCGGCCCAGCTGCTGGGCAGCCAGGGCGGGGTAGGCAGCAGCTGGGAATGCTGGCGGCCCGGCACGTCCGTCGGGTGGGCGGGGAGCCAGCCCTGGAGGACAGCGGTGAGGCCTTCCGGCCAGAGGAGGTAACAGAAACGGGTCGCTGCGTCCGGAGGCTTTGCCGACAGCACGAAGGGCCGGGTGCCACCGCCGCGGCTGCGCTGGCCACGTGTGGGCCCCAGGAGAGCCTCTGGAGAATCAGCAGCCCGGCGACTGCCCGCGGCCTCCGAGCGCGGAGGGCGGAGCGGCGGCGGCCACCCCGCGCCCACGCGGGGCTCTGGGGCCTGTCCATGTCCATCTTCAGCGGAAGCGCGGGCGCCCCACTTTGGAGTATTATTGGCCTGCCTGGGGAGGGGGTGGGCGGCGGCCGGAGCCTGCCCCTCTCCGATACCTGAAGGCAGTGCGGCCGAGGGGCCTCTGAGGTCTCCTCTGGAAGTTCTCGTCCTTCCCGACGATCCGGGGGAGCCCCCAGGGCAGCTGGAGTCGGGGGAGCCTTGGAGGCAAGGAGTGTCGGGATGCGCCCAGCAGACACAGCCAGGAAGACCAGGGAGCGCAGGGACAGGGCCGGGCCCGCCCCGCGCGTGGATTCATAGCGGGGGTGGGGGAGGGGGTGGGGTCACGGGCCCTGCCCCCTCTGCCTGCACGCTGGTCCGGGCACAGGGACACGGGGGACCGGGGGACGGGGGTGGGCAGGGCGGCGCCAGGGGGACCTGGAGTGGGCTGTCTCCGCGGGGTGGGGCTTCCCGGGCCGGCGTGGGGGGAGGGGCCGTGTGGAGCACAAGTCCCCGTGGTCCCTGGAAAACTCCACAAACCACCCCATCTTATTTGGCAAAAGCTCATTTTTTTTCAAAGTTCGAAGACTTGCTCAACAACGGGGAGGAAGAGGATCCTATGGAGGAGGGTGCGCCCGGCCGCCCGGCCGCCCGGCGTAGTGTTCAGGGGCCCGGCCCGGCGGGAGGCGGCGGCGCCCCGGCCTGCAGCCGACACAGACCCCGCAGACATCTTACCCTTAGCCCCCCACCCCCCACGTCACTGCTGCCACAGAAACGCACATCGGAAACCGCTCGTGTACATAACAGCGCATACACATATATAATATAGACAACTGCACAGCGCGGCCCGGCCGGGCTGGCTGCAGACACGGGTGGGCGGGGCGTGTTCTGAACCGTCTGCGAGGCTGGGCTCCGCCCCGGATGCTCAGAGAGGCCCGAGCAGCCCCCGCAGCGCCGGGGCAGGGCCGCCACACGCAGGGGCCCCCAGCCCCACGTGTTCCTTCCTCTGCAGGGAGCGAGGCCCAGCCTGGTTGATGCCCGCACCACAGACCACGTGCCGCGAGCAGCCCGGCCCCCCCTGGGGGGCGGGCGGGGGGAAGCCGCTGAGGAAAGTGCAGCTGGCTCCGAGGGTCGCTAAGGCAGTGCCACGAGCAGGCGGGGCCCGCGCGCAGCCCCCCCGGGGCCCCGGCCGCAGGGGCCCGGCACCCGGCCCCGGGTCATGTGGCCACGGCCTCCAGGTAGCTCTGCAGCTTGCGAACGGTGCTCTCGTCCAGGGAGAAGAGGTCGAAGTCGAAGGTGGTGTTGGTGACGTTGAAGTGGCCGGTCTCCTCGATCAGGTTCACGATCTGCAGGGTGGGGGACGCTGGTGGCCTCGGGCTGGGCTCAAGGGTGCCCCCCCAGGCCCGCCTCCCCCTTCCCGCCCCCCCCCCCGCTGGGGCTCAAGGGCGCCCCCCCGCCCGCCCCCCCGGGCCGTCCCCCCCCCCCCCGCACCTGCTGCAGCACGTTGCGCTCCCGCAGCGCCATCAGCCGCCGGTGCAGCTCCACCAGCTCGTCCGTGTAGGCCTGGGGGGCCGGAGTGGGGCTTCAGTGGGTGCTGTAGCCCCACCCGCGGGCAGCCCGCGCCCCCACCCGCAGCCCCGCGCCCCCACCTTGTCGTAGCCGCCTTTCTTGAGGATCTTGTCCGGCTTGCTGCAGGGCTCCGGGCTCCGCCGGCCTGGCGCCTGCAGGAACCGGGTCTGCTCAGCGCTCACCCAGGCCTCCCAGTCCCGGCGCCCAAGCCGCCCTGGCCCCATCTCCAGGACGCGGACCCGGCACGGAACCAGCTCCTGACCACAGGCTCACCTTGCTGTTGGGTGGGGGTGGCTTCTGGGGGGGCGGGGGCTCACGGCCGGGCAGGCAGGAGTCTGCACTGTTGTCACTCTCGCTGTCACTGAAGCTCAACCTGCAGACAGGCGGCGGTCAGCCCCGGGCCTGGCAGCGCCCAGAGTAAGGGCTGCGGCTCCCCTCGTGCAGCCCTGGCTGAGGCGGTGTGCGGAGGCGACAGGACCGCGGGAACACGGGGCCCTCGCACGGACCCCGGCCGGCGCTGCCTCGGGGGAACCTGTCTCCGAGGGCCACGGGCAGCGTGGCGCCACCCTCTGCCCGCCAGACACAGCCTTTGCGGCTCCGCAACACGGAGCCCTCCAGGGCACGGGGTCCACCTCGGCCTTGGCTTCCTCACGGGACGGGCCCGGCGTTGTGCCCAGCAGGAAGAGCCGCTGCCTGCAGCCCAGCACCCTGTACGGGCCCCAGCGTGGGTCCCGGCTGCTGCACTTCCTGTCCAGCTCCCTGCTAACAATGCGCCTGGGAGAGCAGCCGGAGTCCTGCGCCCAGCTGGGCGACCAGGAAGCAGCTCCTGGCTCCCGGCCTCAACCTGGCCGTTTGGTGAGTGAACCAGTGGATGGACGATCTCTCGCTCTCTCCCTGCCTCTGCCTTTCAAATAAATAAAGTATAAATTTGAAAAAACAAAAGGCACAGGACAGCAGCACGGGGTGGTGCTGCCGAGCCTGAGGGTCCTGCCCACGGCCTCGGCTTTCCCGGCAAGGCTGCCTGAGCAGGACAGCCACACCGCGCGCCCCGCTGTCCTCCGCGCCTCCTGCCGCCTCCAACAGGCCGCGCTGACTGTGGCCAGGGGCGGGCAGCAGTGCTCAGCCCCCAGCGGTTTGTGTCCTGGGCGTCTCCCACGGCAGCAGCAGGCTCGGCCCGGCCCCCTCCTCAGCCCCCTCCCCGGCCCCTCCAGCTCCAGGCCTGGCTCCACCTCACTTGTTACCCAGGCGACGCTGCCGCCCACGGCCACGGCCACACCAATCACTTTCACCTCTTCCCTGTGTCCGACAGGTGGCAGCTGGGTGCCAGCCAGACCCCGGGCCTCCCAGAGAGCAGGCCAGGCCAGGAGGGGCAGCCCTGCCTGCGTGGCCTGAGCAGGCGCTGCTCAAGTCCTTGTACCGCACTGCCAGCCCCTAGAAGGGGACCCACGCCTGTATCCTCGCCCAGCAGGCGGGCGCCGTGGAACGCCGCCCAGCCGCTGTCTGCTCCCGGCCTGAGTCCGGAGGCCGAGGCCCTGCGTGGCCACTTTTCCCCTGGCGGTCACCTGCACGGGGCTCCTTCCCAGAACTCCCCGGGGCCCTGCTGGCACAGACAACGGCCACTCCCGGCTGAAAGAGGAGCCCCTGAGGCCCCCAGGAGGGGGCTGGGGGTGCCAAGGTGGGGTCACTCCAGGACCCTGGACTGTGTCAAGGCCGGCTCAGGAGGGCCGGATGTTGCTGTCCCCGACCCTGTCCCCAGACAGGGCTATGGGTCGGCCCTGCCTCTCCCCTCTGCAGTATGGAGACAGTGCAGAGCACCACCCACCAGGGCCCCTTGACCCCAGCCCACCCAAGGCCCAGGCCTGACACTGCCCGGGGACTCCAGGACCCGACGCCCCACCCAGTCACCTGGAGTCCCGTCCTGGGTTCGTCTTGACGGTGGCCTCGTCACCTGATGAAGAATCGTCCTCGTCAGACTCCTCTGACTGCAGGTCCTCCACCATGGAGCGCAGGGGTCCTGGAGGAGAGGAGAGGGCCCCGCCCGCTGAGCTCCGCGTCCCCGCCCCCAGGCCACGCGCAGCTACTCCCATGACCCTACTGCACACCCAGGACCCCCAGACCACATGCACTACTCCCGTGACCCTACTGCACACCCAGGACCCCCAGACCACATGCACTACTCCCGTGACCCTACTGCACACCCAGGACCCCCAGGGAGCCCTTCCTGCGGCCTCCTGAGGGACCCCTGTGCCCGCCCTGCCTACCTTCCCGGGCCTGTCCAGAGGCCCCGGGCCTGTCCATCGGTGCCGCTGAGGGGAGGTGCCCCTGCCCCCAAGTGCAGAGTCTGGGGCTCTCCCTCCCTCGGTGGGGCGGGCGCAGCGGCCACAGCCGGGCTTGGACGCTCTGCTGGGGCTACAGGGTCCCTGCACCCAGCCACCCCGACTCAGACCTGCCCAGGCCCCGTCTAATTCCCTCTGGCTGCTCGCAGCCCACCGTCCTCCCCTTTCTCCAGAGGCACCCGTTCCAGTCCCCTACAGACGGCATCTTGGTTTATATTCCCGTTACCATGGCAATGGAGGGACACAAAGCCCTCAATTACCTTGGTCACGTGGCCTGGCTCCAGCAGGTTCCCTCCCTTCCCAGAGATCAGAGCACTTGGAGAGGGGACAGGCTTTCAGGGCCCCATCCCCCAGCACACGCCTGAATCCCAGGCCAGACCCCCCAGCCACTCCCCTCCCTGTGCCCCCAAAGGATTCCTGCCATCGGGGGAGGCGGCACACTGCCCTCCCTCAGCTCTGAGCGAGGGTGCCGTGGCCTCCGGGTCCGTGCGAGCCCAGGGCCCCTCCGCTCCAGGGCAGCCCCTGGGCCCCCTGCCTTCCCCCAGCAAACCCCACACTTGGTGACAGGGGACTGCTTCTGCCCCCGGCCCCATCGGGGCCGGCCCCTGCGCCTCCCCTCCCTCCCTGTCCCTTTCAGACTCAGGGCGTGCTGCTTTCGGTAACAGTCCCGCGCCATCAGGGAGACGGGGAACCCTGACCCCAGGGGCTGCCCCACAGGAGCCCGCCCGTCCCCGCCTCATGACGCACCTTGGCTGTGGTTCTGAGACGGTTCAAAATCCGAGTCTGAGCTGGAGTCCGAGCTGGAGCTGGAGTTGGACGGGCTGGACGGGGCGGACTTCACCCGGCAGGGGCAGGCGGGTGGGGGAGGGGAGAATGACACCTTTCAGGCCAGAGCGGGGGGAGAAGGTGCTCTGGGGTCCCCACAGGGCCCCTGCAGCCTCCCCCAGTCCAGGACATCAGCAGTGTGACCTCTTTTTCCCACTGAGGACCCGGTACAGCAGAGCCCGCCCTGGGTACCCACTTCTCTTTCCCACCCCGGCACCGTCCTGGGCCTGAGGGCCCAAGTGCACGCTGTGTGCGCTGAGTGTGTGCACGGCAGGCAGATGCTGCACTGAGCCAGGCATCCTCCCCCCCACCCCCGCCGCAGCTGTGTCCCCCCAGCGCGGTCACCAGGGAGCAGCCAAAGCTAAAACAAACGTGACAAAGGAACTGAAGGCGCGAGGCGGCGGCGAGGGGCCCGTGGAGGGCGGGGTGTGCGAGCGGGTGCGTGGGCCGGAGGGCATGGGGCCGCGCCTCCTGGGGGCACAGCAGCCAGCCGGTCACTGCGAGTGCCCGCCCCGCAGAGCCGAGGCTGGGCCAGGGCCGGGAGGGACCTGCCGGCTCCGGGCTTGGGTCTCAGCCAGGAAGCTCTGCGGGCAGAAGGCCAAGCCTGAGCCCCGCAGAAGCTGCCCGGCCGCTGGGCCGCTCACACGTGGCTGTCCAGCCCGCCTCAGCGGCTGCCAGCCACAGCAGACGACCCTGGAACAGGGCTCAGGACCTCGAGATGCAGAACCCGCACGCTCTGGGGCCCTTGGCTCCTCCCCGCGGCGTCTGGGACAGGGCGGCCCCCCTGCAGAAGGGGCCCAGGAAGGCACAAGGCCTCTCCTCTCTGTGAGCAGGGGGTACTGAGAGGGAGGGGCCTCTCCTCCCGACCCAGCCCACTCCAAACACACCCCGCCAACCCCTGCTCGCCCACCCTCTTAGCAAATGGCCTTCCCTGGGCAGCACAGTCCCCTGCACACTCCCCGGGTGCCTGTTCTAACACTGGCCCTGTGGCGCAGGCTCACACAGCCCCCACTTCTAAGCCTCGGCTTCCCCACCCCTGCAAGCCAGCTCAGCAGCGCCACCTGCAGGAAGGTGGCCGAGGAAGGCCCTGGGCCCCCACTGCCTCCCGCGGGTCCCCCAGCCCGCAGGCTGCTCAGGTCGGCAGGGGAGTCAGTCTTTCCTCCCGTGTGGACCTGCGGCAGCGAGAGGCATCCAGAAGGCTTCAGCCAGCGCCCAGGGGGTGCTGGAGCAGCCCGAATGCCTGGTTCAGGGCCCCAGGGGCCCAGCCCGGGGACCTGGACACAGCAGCGGCCCAGTGGTCTCGGAGTGCGGGCGAGGGCTGGGCACGGACTTCAGCGGTCACGGCCACGGCTTTCCAGCAGTGGAGCTGCAGGCAGCCTCCAGCGAGACTCGGCCTGAAACGGGCAGGGGGAGGCCAGGCAGCTTTTCCCACCCCACAAACCTGTACTTCATGGAGGCCCGTGGTGGCCAAGGCTCCTGCCCGGAAGCCGCTCCGTGCACAGGAGGCTAGGAACTCCCGTGCCTCCCTGTGTGGCTGCTGCCTCAGGAGCCCAGTGTTAAAGGCCACAGAGCTGGACACCAGCCCCAACGCTGCGCGACAGTTCCCACGTGAAGGGGACCTCCCTGCTAGACACCCTGGGTGCCCCCATGTCAGTGCAGGGGTCTGGGGCAGGGCCAGCTGGGGGAGGAGGGGGGGCCCTGCGGACTCTTGGCCTCAGCTGCCCTCCACTGCGGTGCCCGCCCAGCCCGTGGTGCAGAGAGGCCTGGAGACGGCCCCAGCACCTACCCCCTGGCCTAGGGGCTCTGGGCAGGTAGATGTGGGTGCTGGTGAGCACCTGCCAGGCCTAGGGCTTTGGTGAGGTGGCTCTGGGGCCCAGCAGCTGAGGACCGCCAGCAGGTGACACTGCCAGGTGACACCGTGTCTTCCAGCAGCTGGCTGTGGGATGCACACCAGCTTCTGTGTCTGAGCCAAGGGGACGCAGTGTCACCCCCAGCCTGACAGCCCCCACCCAGCGTTGTCACCTGCCACAAGGCAACCCTCAAGAAGCCAACACTGCCTTCCCCCAGGACCTCATTCAAGCGGAGCTCCCCGCAGCAGTGCCGGGGGCTGCCCTGGAGGGTGGGACTTGCTCACGCACGCACCCAGGCTTCCGTCCTCTCAACTCCAGACACAAGCGCAGTGGTCGAGACACTGCCGCCACCATCCACGGCCTCCCAGGAGGCCTGGCTGCTAGGCCAAGAGTCCTGCTGTTGGTCCTGGTGGCTCAGGTCACTGGACGGTGGGTGGCCTTCAAGGAGCTGACTGGACACAGCTGCAAAACTAGCCCTGGCACCGCCTCTGTAGGGGCCAGGCTGTCCCTGAGGGGCTGACCACGGACACCCAATGTCCCTCCTGTGTGCGGCCTGCCAGGAGCTGGGCCCAGGAGTGGAGCAGCAGGAAGACGTGGGGGAGTGAACTCCTCCCAGCTGACCACGCGGAGACTGAGAGCCCATCAGCTGCCCAGGCCCACGCAGGCCACCGCACACGGCCCCAGGCACCGTGTTGCCCGGAGCCACCCACGAAGGCACGTGGGGACTACGGACTCCGCCTCCTGGGGACCCTGACCCAAGGCAGAGGCTCACTGAGCAGGACGTGAGTCCGGGCTGAGGGTTCCAGCCGCACCTCCCCCGCCCTCTCCGGCCGCCCCCCTCACCTCTGACTTGAGGGAGGCCTCGTCCTCCGAGTTGGACTCCTCCACCTCCAGCGCCTTCCGGGCCTCCCTGGGCTCGCTCTCGGCCTTCCCCTTCTCCCCCTTGCTGCTGCTCTTGTCCTTGGCTGGCTTTTTGTCCGGGAAGGAGGAAGACGAGGTGCGGGGCGAGGCGCCCGGGGCGCTCCGGGACCCCTTCGAGCTGCTCTTCTTCGGCTTTTTGGCGCTGGGCTTCGGCGAGTCCGCGGCGGCCGGCCGCTTGCTGGAAGCCTTGGGCAGGGCTGGGGGCTGGGGCCCCCCTTTGGGGGACAAGCTCTCCAGCTTGGCCTCCTTCAGGGCCATCTTGGGCTCCTTGAACGCGGCCTTGGGCGGCGGGGCCTTGTCCTCCTTGGGCAGCCGGCCCTCGGCCAGCTTGCGCGCGTCCTTGCCGCCCCTGGCCTGCTCGCGCTCCAGCTCCCGGGAGGAGCCCTTGCTCTCCGAGTCCTTCCGCGGCCGCTCCCGCTGCTCCTTGGTCACCTTGTGCGGCTTCGAGGCCTTGCTGCTCTCCTTGTTGGCGTCCTGCAGGGCCGAGGCGGGAGGGCGGGTGGGGGAGACGCGGGGTCACACGGCGTCCCGGGGCCGCCCTGCTCCACCCCGCCAACCTGCCAAGTGTACTGTACCCGATTCAGGCCCAGCTACAGTGAACCTCTCAGAGAGCGGGGGTCAGGCAGCAGGCGAGCTTACAGGGAGCAGTGCCCACGCCCGGCCCCAGGAGTCCCTGGGGAAGTGCAGTCACACAGAGGGGCAGGCCCACCACGCTGGCTCCGGGGGTGCTGGGGCGGCCTCGCCCCCTCCCTGGCTTCCTCTTGGCCCCAGCACCCGTTCTCCACCTCAGTGCTTCCTGCCCGCCCCAGCTGTCCAGGCCCGCTCCAGCCTGCCCTCCGCACAGCTGGGGAGGACAGTGCACTTGACCCAGGCAGGTGACACTGACGGCGTGCCCACTGGGCTCCCGCTCCAGGCCTTTCGGGATCAAAGCCATCTGGTGGTGAGACAGGGAGGACACTGGGGTCTCAGCCGTGGGAATTCAGAGCTGAGTGGAGCCCCCGTGAGGATACAGGTGGAGCGGAGGCTGAGAGCAGCCCTGCCAGGGCCCTCCCAGGTGCTGTCTGCAACCCCACTACCCACACCTGAGGGGCGGCCATGCGTCACGGGGCAAGGGCACAGGCCTGGCACCCGGCGAGCACTCAGCCCCGACAGTCACCACTGCCACACGCAGCCTGGGCACCTCCAGTCTCTCCCAACGTGAGGACAGGACGAGGGCCCATCCGTCCCCATCTCAAGGCCGCCCGTGACCCCAGAACGGTGAAGCACAGAGAGAAAGAGCAAGCAGCCCGACTGCCCGAACCCAGCCAGCGCCACAGGGAGCCTCCACGGCAGGCACCCGGGGTGAGCGAGGGCCCTCACGCCTGCCCCAGCGGGCGCACGTCCTGCTGGCCTTGCCGCCTGAGGCAGGGACTGACTGGGCACGGAAGCACCACAGGCTGACCCACCTGCAGCCGCAACCACCAGGCTCGCCGGCGGTCCCCTGCTGTGGGAGACCCAGGCTCTCCAGGCACGCGGGGCAGAGAGCTGACACCACTGCCCCGGGGCAGAAGCCGCTCACGGGCCGCGCCCTCCGAGGGCCACACAGCGCTGACGGCTCAGGGCCTCGGGGAGAGCGGACACCAGAGATGGACCTTAGCAGGGCCTTGTGGCAGCTGAGAAACCCACGCAGACGCTGCCCACCACACCCGCGGGTTCCCAGGTGCAGGGCAGGTGGAGCCGGGGACCTTGCCCACAGCCCTGACCCCGCAGGCAAGCCCAGCTGGTGTTCCTGCTGGGGGCTCCCAGGGTCCGGCCGCCCCTGCAGACAGAGCTCTGCGGCCGCAGGCTGTCCCCACCAGGCGGGAAGCACTGCTCCCCACGGCCATCGGGCCACAGCAGTGTCCAGGCGATGCAGCAAGTGGACAGCAAGCCCCCTCTCCGCTCCGCTCAGACTTCCACAGAACCCTGGGGCTCGGAGCCCCGCAGGAAGTCCCTGCCCTTCACCCTCTGCAGGAGGTCCCGCCCCTGCTCAAAGACCGAAGACTGAGGATGCCTGAGGCGTGCTTCTCCTGTGGGGTTACACACAGGTGAGCCCCCTGGCCGACGTGGGGGGCCCAGGCCCACGCCAGCCCCCAGGAAAGAGAAGGAAGAGACACAGAGAAGAGAGCACAGCCGTGGGCGTGGGGACTTGGACCAGAGTCGCCGGGCGGAACGCACACGCACGGCGACGTGGGCACGGCGACGTGGCCCAGAGCCTTCCGGAGAGGTTTGCGAGAGACCCCGGCCTGACTGGGCCGACCTGAGAAGACACAGCACCCCTGCTCCAGGAACTCAGCTCTGCACGCGACCCTGCCTTGGCCCCTCCCCACGTAAGCCCTGCCTGCGGCGGCCACCGCCAGAGAAGCAAAGCCTGGAACAGCCACGGGCAGGCACAGCCCAGGCCGCAGACCCCAAGAAGGCAGGCGGCCGGGCGCGGCCCAAGATGGAAACGGCCTGACTCCCAGAGGCCGGAGCGAGCGTGCGCGCAGGGCTGTGGCGGGACAGTCCCCAGCGCTGGCGCAGCAGCCTGGGCAGCTTCAAGACACAGGGACGAGGCCCCGGGACGACGTGGCCTACGCCTTGACCCTAAGGGAGCGGCAGGGAGTGCCGGGGAGCGGAGCGCTCGGGAGAAGCCGCCACGGAGCGAGTGCGGGTGCGGAAGGCCCAGGCGGCAGCGGGAGGGCACCCGGCCGGGCCGGGGCTGGGCCTTCCGCCTCACTAACCTTGCAGCCATGGGACGGTTTGGTCTTCTTGGGGTCAGAGAAGGCAGAGAGTGGAATTGTGGGTAACATGGGGTAGTCGGGGCTGGGCCTGGACACCGATTCTGCTCCTTCGGGCATTACCATCACCTAGTGACAAAGAAGAGACAGGCGTTACAACGCGGGAGCGAGCGTGGCTGACGCCATGGAACGGGGCCTGAGCGTCACTTTCCCGAGAGAACGGCAGGCGCCTCCTCCGGGGGAGCGAAGAGAAGCGCTGGGCCCAGGACGGCTGGGCCCCGGGGAGCAAAGCCCCGGGCAAGCGGCCAAGACGGGCGAGGGAGGGCGCCGGGGAGCGCGAGAAGGCAGCCACGGGCCAAGCCCGGCCAACGCTGAGCCCGGAAGGGCCCCACGCACAGCCGCGGCCAGCACGGGGGAGAAGGGGGAGCCGAGGGCAGCTCCCACGTGTCCTGGGGATGAGCCTCAGCAGGGGCGAGGCTGAGGCAAGAGAAGACCTGCGCGGGGCGGGGCGGGGCGGGGCGCCCACTCCAGCCACTCCTGCCAGAGCCACAAGGAAGTGCTCCCGGGAACACCTGTCTGGCTCCCGTAGGGCTGCCGGACGCCAGCTGCAGGGAGAGAGGGCTCAGCCGTCAGGGAAGGGCTCCCAGAGGGCGGCGAGCAGGGAGAAGGAGCGTCCACCTCGCAGAAGCGGCGTCACTCACGACCCGCGGCCCTGGCGCTCCGGGCTGAGCCGGCCCTCTCATCCCGGGATGCCGAGATCACGCCCTCACGGGACGGCGGAGGCCAAGGGAGGCAGCAGGGCGGGGCGGGGCGGCCCCAGCTCCGGGGCTGCACGGCAGCCCACCTGACAAGACCGAGGTGTGCCACGGGACGCGGCCGCCCAGGCCCTGCCTCCCCCGAGCTGAGGCCCAGCCCGACGCCATCTCAGGACAGCGCATCTCCCTCGCGTCCTCGTCAGGGACAGACCCTCAGCACAGGCAGGAGGAGTGCTTCTCCCTCTGCAGGTGTCATGGCCAAGACCACGCGCCCCGCGGGCAGATGGGGCCAAGGACGTGAAGGGCTGGCCGCTGACCCTGGTCGTGACAAATCCCAGGACCCCAAGTGACCACCAGGAAGGGCAGGACGCACAGCCGCTCTCCTCCACGTACAGCTCGGACTTCCCTCGGTAATCCCGGCACCGCCAGCTGCCCGTGGGCGGGGGCCGCTCTGCTGTCAGCACCTGCTCCCCCGGCAGCCCTGTGTGCAGCCTGGCCGCCTCCCTGTCGCGGTGCCCTTCAGACTCGGCCGGATCTGCCCTCCCCACGCTCCCTCGCGGCCTCCGCCCTGCCCTGGGTTTTATGTGTTTAGACGACGCCCTCACAGCCTTCATCTCATCAGAGCAAAGGGAACCGCCGCCCGCAGGAGCCGAGGCCCCACACGGGGCTCGCAGGGGCCCCGCGACGCTGACTGTCTCCCAGAGAAGGAGAGAACAGGGCCTTTGGGGACGCCCAGAAACACCTGGGGAGGAGAGCGCGTGCCATGCAAAGGGTGCAGAGGCGGTGCTGGGGAGGGCCCTGCCACCTGCCTGCACCCCAGTGCCGCCAGCACGGGCGCCACCTCCCCGCCTCCCCAGGCCAGATCAGAATCACAGAGGGACCTTTATCAGGAACACAGCAGGGCTCCTCCAGCTCCTACCACGAGCAAACCTGCTCGGGCTCAGACAGAAGAGCTCCCAGAAGACCCGCCTGTACTACAGGAGGAGACAGAGGTCCCTATGGAGCAAGAAACACCCTCGAAGACGGGCCTGCGCCCCACACCACCCACACGTGCCCCAGATAACACACAAATACGTCGCATGCGCAAAACACACACAGCATACACACCACAGAAACGCGCCCCACACTCACACACAATGCTGGCTTGCTTCACCGCGGTGTGGTGGTTCTGAGGTCTGCCCCGTGACCCAGCCTCAGCCCAGCCCTCCCCCGGGATGGTCCCTCCCCACAACCCTCAGCACCCTGCACCCCTGCCCTGTGACCCAGCCTCGGCCCAGCCCTCCCCCGGGATGGTCCTCCCCACGACCCTCAGCACCCCGCACCCCTGCCCTGTGACCCAGCCTCGGCCCAGCCCTCCCCCGGGATGGTCCCTCCCCACGACCCTCAGCACCCCGCACCCCTGCCCTGTGACCCAGCCTCAGCCCAGCCCTCCCCTGGGATGGTCCTCCCCACGACCCTCAGCACCCTGCACCCCTGTCCTGTGACCCAGCCTCAGCCCAGCCCTCCCCTGCACACCCTGGGCTGTCCTCCCCACGACCCTCAGCACCCCGCACCCCTGCCCTGTGACCCAGCCTCGGCCCAGCCCTCCCCTGGGATGGTCCTCCCACGACCCTCAGCATCCTGCACCCCTGTCCCGTGACCCAGCCTCAGCCCAGCCCTCCCCCGGGCTGTCCTCCCACGACCCTCAGCATCCCGCACCCCTGCCCTGTGACCCAGCCTCAGCCCAGCCCTCCCCTGGGATGGTCCTCCCCACGACCCTCAGCACCCCGCACCCCTGCCCTGTGACCCAGCCTCAGCCCAGCCCTCCCCTGGGATGGTCCTCCCACGACCCTCAGCATCCCGCACCCCTGCCCTGTGACCCAGCCTCAGCCCAGCCCTCCCCCACACACCCCGGGATGGTCCCTCCCCACGACCCTCAGCACCCCGCACCCCTGCCCTGTGACCCAGCCTCAGCCCAGCCCTCCCCCGGGCTGTCCTCCCACGACCCTCAGCACCCCGCACCCCTGCCCTGTGACCCAGCCTCAGCCCAACCCTCCCCCGCACACCCTGGGCTGTCCTCCCACGACCCTCAGCATCCCGCACCCCTGCCCTGTGACCCAGCCTCAGCCCAGCCCTCCCCCACACACCCCAGGATGGTCCCTCCCCACGACCCTCAGCACCCCGCACCCCTGCCCTGTGACCCAGCCTCAGCCCAGCCCTCCCCCGCACACCCTGGGCTGTCCTCCCATGACCCTCAGCATCCCGCACCCCTGCCCTGTGACCCAGCCTCAGCCCAGCCCTCCCCTGGGATGGTCCTCCCACGACCCTCAGCATCCTGCACCCCTGTCCCGTGACCCAGCCTCAGCCCAGCACTCCCCCGGGCTGTCCTCCCCATGACCCTCAGCACCCCGCACCCCTGCCCTGTGACCCAGCCTCAGCTCCTCCCCCTGCACACCCCCGGGCTGTCCTCCCATGACCCTCAGCATCCCGCACCCCTGCCCTGTGACCCAGCCTCAGCCCAGCCCTCCCCCGCACACCCTGGGCTGTCCTCCCCACGACCCTCAGCACCCCGCACCCCTGCCCTGTGACCCAGCCTCAGCTCCTCCCCCGCACACCCCTGGGCTGTCCTCCCACGACCCTCAGCACCCCGCACCCCTGCCTTGAGGCCAGCAGCATCCCGCAGGCTCTGTCAGGGCCCTCTGCTCCCAGGTGACCTTGTGGATGGGCAGGCAGGTGCTAATTACCACAGCCACCCAGGACGCCACAGGGAGACCAGCGACGCATGTCCATGGCTGGCAACGCCCAGCCAGCCCTGCTGGGCACCACCGCGCACCCCCAGCACCCTCGGCGCCCCGCCCACGGGGCCCACTCACCCCGCCAGCCATCAGCAGCTTGTAGCGGAACTCGGTGGTGGGGTTGTTGAAGGTGAGCTTCTCACAGCGCAGGTGGTTCACGGGCGGGTTGCCCTCTGGGTTCAGGAAGAGGTCGTAGGTGAAGCAGACCTTCCTCGGCTCCTCCTGCGACCAGGAAAACAGGAAGCGGGGTCAGAGGGCGGGGGTCAGAGGGCCCGCACCCTCCGGAGGCTTCCCTCCTGCCATTCAGAACCCAGCGGCCCTTGCAGCCCCTCCCGCCCCACAGGCGCAGATGGCACAGCTGAGCGACGGTGCTGAGCCCCAACCCCGAACTCTGAAGTCCCGAACCTGCACGCTGCAGCTCCTCCTTAGGGAGAATCAGACACAGTCCTAGGCTGGACACACACCACACACCTGACACAGAGTGCACACTACACACACCACACCCAGCACAGCTGTACACTACACAGTCACACACTATGGTCACCACACAGTCACACACTACACACACTACAGATAAACACACTAACGTGGTACACTACAGCCGCACACTATACACATATACTAGAGACACACACTACACACAGTACAGCTACACATTACAGTCACACACTAGAGTCACACAGTATACACATTACAGCCACACACCACAGTTGTACACTACAGCCACACACTATAGTCACCACACATTCACACACAATGGCCACACACTACACACACTAGAGTCACCTAGAGTCACACACTACACACACACTACAGAGTCACACACTACAGAGTTGCACACTACTGCCACACACACTAAAGTTGCACACTACAGCCACACACTATACACATATACTAGAGACACACACTACACATACAGTTACATATTACAGCCACACGCTACACAGTCACAACACGCTACAGCCACACACTACATAGCCACACACTACAGCTGCACACTACACACAGTCATGCACTACATAGCCACACACTACAGCCAAGCACTACACACAGCCGCACACTACACAGCCACACACTACACACTGTTGTACACTACACAGCCACACTACAGCCACGCACTACACAGCCACACACTACAGCCACGCACTACACAGCCACACACTATACATAGCCACACACTACAATCATACACTACAGAGTCACACATTAGTCATGCACTACAGCCACACACTACACAGCCACCCACTACACAGCCACATACTACACACAGCCACACACTACACACAGTCACGCACTACACCATTACACACCAGTCACACATCAGAGTCACACACTACAGCCACACACCGCAGTCACACTACACACGCTACAGCCACACGCTACACACAGCTGCACACTATACACACTACAGTCACGCACTACACAGCCGCACACCAGAGTCACACACTACAGTCACGCGCTACACTCAGCCACACACCACACAGCCGCACACACCACACAGCCGCACACTACACAGAGTCACACACACCACACAGCCGCACACACCACACAGCCGCACACTACACAGAGTCACACACAGCACACAGCCACACACACCACACAGAGTCACACAAGACGGGACCCGGAGGGGCTGCAGCACAGCATCACGAGACTGCCCACGCCAGGCCCACCCACACCCCGACACCTCACGAGACAGAGGCCTGTGCTCTGGCCGCCCCCCCGCCCCCGGCAGTGCCGACAGGGCCAACAGCTCCTGGTTTGGGGCGGGCACTGGATGGGTCTGGGGGAGAGGGCGTGAGGAGCTCCTAAGTGGCAGTCGTGAGAAGGGACATGAGGCTGCGACACCCACAGCTGAGGGCCGGGAAAGCCCCAGGGCACAGCGATACACCGTGGGGCTGGACTCTGCCGCTCCGAGCCAGGAGGGCCTGGGACCGCGAGGACCCCGAGGGCCGTGCTGAGCTCACACACGGAACACGCTGTCCCCGAGACGGCCCCAGCCCACGGCGGAGCACCTGGGTTCCAGTCTCGTCCTGAGACGGCCCCAGCCCACGGCGGAGCACCTGGGTTCCAGTCTCGTCCCGCTGCTGACTCCAGCTCCCTGCTAATGCCCACCGGGAGGCAGCCGGTGACGGTGATGGCTCAAGTACCAGGGGCACTGTCTGTCACCCATGGAGCAGAACTGGTTAAGTTCCCAGCTCCTGGCTTTGGCCTGGCCTTGACCTCCTGTTGTAAGCTTTTGGAGAATAAACCAGGGGATGGAAGATCTCCCTGCAGCTCTCAAATAAAAATTTAAAAAATTAAAAATAATATAGATATAAATAATATAAATTTAAGGCGAGCAAAGAGTTTGGGTACACAGTTCTCTACAGATAGAGATAGTGAGTAAGTGCACGAGAGGAGACACAGCAAGACTCCATGAGATGCCACGGCACACCCACGAGGGCAGTAGCCGTCCACATCCACAAAACAGAAGCAAGCGTTAGACAGGACCTAGGGAACCCTCGGACACGGCCGGTGGGAATGTGAAATGGGACAGCCACCTCGGAAAGCCGGGTTCTTTCACTAGGTTGAAGACACAGGGACCGCCAGGCCTCACGCACCACACACACACCAACACGTGCACACCTACGCTCACGGCGCGGCATCCCTTGTGATATCCCCAAACCAGAAACAGCCAAGTGTCCGTGGCCAGAAGCAGGGACGAGCACAGCGTGGCCCGCCCACACAGCGGACGTCCCAGGCGCTGACACCACACAGCGTGCAGCACGCTCGGCAGACGCAGATGCAGACGCAGAAGGCCACACCGCGTGGGGCTCCACGGCTGGGAGGCACAGGAGGTGGATTCCTGGTGGACGGGGGCTGGGGAGGAGGACGCAGGAAGGCACTGCTGGGCTGCAGGGAACACCCTGGGCTCAGAGAACTGCTGACCGGGCGGGCGCCTGGGTCAGAGTCCCGGATTCGCTCCCAGTCCCAGCTTCCTGCCATCGTGCACTGCGGGAGGCAGTGGTGACGGCGTGAGTACTTGGTCCCTGCCGCCTCCGCGGGGGAATGCACACAGTTCCTGAGCCCAGGCTTCAGCGCCCCGGCCTTAGCTGCTGTCGACATCCGGGGAGTGAACCAGCAGCCGGGAGCTCTTTGTTTGCCTTTCAAATACAGAAATAAAATTTGCCAAAAATTGTGGTAACTGCACAGCATTGTGAGCACGCCAACATCCACTTTGAAAGGGGAACCTGACGTGTGACACAGACCTCAAGCTACTAAAATGCCACTCACTGGGGCCAGCGCTGTGGACAGCAGGCTACGGCTCTGCCTGTGGCGCCGGCATCCCACATGGGCACCAGCTCGTGTCCCAGCTGCTCCACTTCCAACCCTGCTCTCTGTTGATGGCCCGTGGAGGCAGTGGGGGCTGGCCCAAGTGCCTGGACCCCAGCACCCATGTGGGAGACCCGGAACAAGCTCCTGGATCCTGGCTTTGGATGGGCTCCGCTCCGGCTGTTGGGACCATCTGGGGAGTGAACTAGCAGATGGAAGACCTTTCTCTCTGCCTCTCCCTCTCTCTGTCTGCATCTCTACCTCTCAAATAAAAATAAATGAATAAATATCAAATAAAAATAAGATGCTACTCACTAGGAGAGAAAGGTCTGGCAGTTTGGGGCCTGGTGGAGGTGCCTGAGCAGGGCCTCTGTGCTCAGAGATCTGCCCAGGAGGGGGTGAGGAAAAAGGCCCTGCCCTGCGCCCCCGCGGTCTGCAGCCTCCCCACGCCCGCCAGGCCCCTGTCCTGCAGCTCAGGCGCACGGCTCAGTCACGTTCTAGTCCTGGGACAGAGGAGGCAGCAGCACGGGGCTCTGGGTGGTGTCTGAGCCCTGTCCACCAGACAAGCTCCGCTGTGGCTGGGCGTGGGAACGGCAGGCTGTATGCAACGTCAGCAAGCTGGCAGCGTCCTGCCACGCACGAGTTCCCAGGGTGGACCACAAACGCTGTCCCCACGCTGCATGTGTCATGGGAAGGAGCCCTGGGGGTGCTGAGTGCTAGGGCGCCACACAGGAAAACAGGTCTTCTTTATCCCACCCGGACCTGGGCTCAGGTGGGCTTCCCCCAACCTCAGGGGAGGGTTCAAGACTGGTCTGAACCAGACTGGAAACCGCCCTCCCCTTGGGTGAGGAGCTGGGAGGGGCAGGCCTGCCAGGAGAGCACCTCTCCCCTTCTCTCCTTCTCTGCTTCCCGCTGACACACATGCAAGGGGCCGTGAGGGGGCAGCCTCCTGAGGACAAGCGTGGGGGCCCCAGCACCCTGACCTCATGTCCTGCAGGAAAGCAGCCCCCACATCTGCACGGGCAGCCGGGTGGCCGGACACAGCTGTGGGTGACACGGACGGCATCGCCGAGCCCTCCACTCCTCAAACCCGGGCAGCGCTCCTCCCCCACGCCCCTCCCCTCCAGAGGCACCTGTGTGCCGGGGGGCTGTGGTGATCCTTCACCTGCTCCTCCCCTTGGTGCTGGCCAGCACTGGCAGATGCTTGAATGCAATGCCACGACATCTCAGGCGTGGGAAGCCAAGACTGTGGCAAAAACTGTCCTCCATGAAGGACCCCAGTGGGTGAGACCCCAGTGGAAAGAAGTGGCCATCAGAGGAGGAGGCACTTTCCTTTGGAGGAGCAGAGAACGTCCACTTTGCTCACGGCCCTGTCTAATCACTGACGGAGTCTGGGGACTCAAGAGGCTTCCATAGCCTAGGCAGCTCATGTCAAGAGCCTCGGGTGACCACTGACGTCATACATGAGAATGCTAATGGCTAAATTTACAAGAGTCACTGTGCACTGCCTTCCCGAGCAGGACCTCTGTCCTCGGAGATGCATTATAACCACGCCAAAGTGCTCACAGAAAATGTACCATTCCTGGGTGCTTATTTTAAGTGTCTAAAAAAGGAAAGCAAAAACAGAAACAAAGAAGTGAGATTAGCTTCAAGAGGCAATGACTCTGAACAGCCTCGTCTCCACTGTTGAGGAACAGCTCTGTGGGTTTTTTTGTGCGAATTGTTGAAGTCTTTACTTAGTATAAAGTCGGTCTTCTGTGTATACTGTTAATCAAAAATGGATCTTAGTGGAGAATGGGAGGAGGAGGAGGAGGGCGGGTACGGTGGGAAGAAGCACTGTATTCCTAACGTTGTACTTGTGAAGTGCATGGAGTTTGGATTCCTTAAATAAAAAGTTTCTTGGTGGAGGG